CAGCAGCAGCAGCAGCAGCAGCACAGTTCCAGCCTGACGAGGCAAAACTCAAAGGCAGACTCAATGTACGGGACCCATCCATTGGTTCACCAGCACAACACGGTCCAGCCGATCAGGCCAAACCCGAACATGGACACGGTGCGACGAAGTGCCATGAAGCAAGGCTCGAGCCACTACGCGGCTCCTCCTTATCTCGCGGAGCTGAAAGCTGCCTCCAGCCCCCAGCCACAGCGTAGGGTGACCATTCAGGAACCACCGACGTCGCCCAAGTCGAAGACGGGGACAGGGAAGAAGATCACGTTCAATCTCCCGCCTCAGCAGGAGCCAGGGAGCCCAGCTCTGCCGCAGAGGAAGCCGATGCCGCCGAGAAGGTCGGACAGCACGAGGCTCACGTCTCCGAAGAAGCTCGCCGCGTCCGATCAAGCGCCGCCCGGTGATTTCTTGAAGGATCTTCAGAGAGTAATGAGGAAAAAGTGGCAGGTCGCGCAGAAGTGTAAGCTGGACTCGACCACCACTCCTCACGAGGTACTCGGCTTCCGCGATCCACCGCCCGCCGTGGCGGATTACAGAGAGACCAACGTGTCGAACTGGGTCCAGGAACACTACGGGGCCGACAATCTCTACGAGAACGTGTACGCGACGGATCCGCACGCGCCGGTGGAGTACGCGTCGAGCCCGGCCCGGCAGTCGACCGTCAGGTTCGCGGACGAGAACCGCAGCATCAACATCGTGAACGCGATCGCCAGTAAAAGAAGGCCGCCACCGCCGCCGCCGAAAAGGGCGGAAACCACCCATTTGACCACCACTAGGGCGATGCACTGACAATAGCAGATACTTCAGCCCCATCCCGAAAGGCGATGGTTTTGCTGTTTGTGCAGCTGGTGGAAGGGCTAACAGAGAGCGAAAGTAACACTCTTCGCTTTCTTCTCTGTGATTCGGTCATCGGTTTTTCTTTTCTTCTTTTTTTTTCTTTTTTTTTTTTTTCTCTCCAAGATCCTTCATAAATCGTTGATCGTCCTCCAATGTGTTATGTCTGTCGTGTATGCCTTCGAAACAGACGGCGAGGAGGAAAGCGGAAGATCGACAACGATTATCCTTGAAGAGTAGTTCAGCTTCGCGTCGCCAGAGCTTTGCATGGAATCACTGATGAGGCTTACCCGAGAGATCACCTTTTGCTGTCTGTCTGGAAAATTCGAACAGCCCGTGGCCCGTTTTTCCAGGATAATCGATGTACAATCCGAGGACGAGGAGAACAAGGACCGATCGATACACTGCCGGTCGGCGGGGAGCAATCGCAACGAACCGAGCGTCGAGTCACAGGCTCGAGCAGGAGAGGATCTTCTTTTTAGCCGCGATTCTTTTGATACATCGCGGATCGGAGCTGCAAATATCAACTTGTCACGGAGTTATCGATCGTGAAACATCAATCTCAGCGCCGATATCTCAAGGTCGGAGGGCGTGAAGGAGACAAATACTGCCGCACATATTGACGATGTGATATATAATAAGTCTTAAGCTGCTGACTGTTTTCGTTGTCCCACCGGGGGAGACACCGGGTAGGGGACGGTTGTCGATTCACGAGCGATTTCGATCGATGATTTTCATCTCGATTACGCCGCCAGCTCCGCGATCTTCTCGGTTGGTGGCGATCGAATTTAGAAATAAGAGAAAAAAATAAATAAATAAATAATTAAAGAATGGGAATATACGCACGAGATTCGCGGCCGCATTTCTGTGTGCAAGTTAAATATAACGCAGAGTTAACTAGGCTTAGCTAAGTATCTCTGGTGTCTGCTGACGTGCGTTAGGTGAGAGACGGATGGACGGTTTTTTTTCTCTTTTGCGTTATTCCGAAGGGACGATCGCATCGTGACGAGAATAGAACGAATAACAACCAGATGGTAATTTTTTTTGTTCTTTGGTGGAGAAAGTGCTTCTCGAACGCGTGAAATAGAAAAACTGAGAACAAAAGGGAACAGACACCGTTCCACACAAAACCCTACACACACACACACATACACACACACACAAGATGAACACGTACTGCGTTTTTTAAAAGCCTCGTACATAGGTGTGTATGTATATAAATGAACCGCGTATGAGCGTTTATATCAATATATCGACTTTTTGATGCTGTATGTTTAGATGATATCGTACGATATATGAAATATCCTCTACGACGTGTACACGATAACGCATAATCTATTTCGATGGGCCTCGATCGTGAACTTTTACGTGTGATGCTATTTGCTCTTCGTCGTCGAGGTTTTATTACACACACACACACACAATACATACGTGTCCACACACATACACACACACAAAAGAATACACGACCAAGGAATTTATACGACCAACATTAACGATTGTTATGCTGACTCTTTAACACGCTAAAGATATATCTTGTTCGTGAAAGTTTTCATCTCTTCTTTTCCGTTCTCATTTCGCTGCTTCGACCGTCTTCAAAGTAAATTTTTATCTACGAAATCGGGACGTGACTCTCGTTAAACGAGAGAAACTTCGAAGCGATTGGAATAATTTCGCCGACGACTCATTGAGACTCGACGAATCCCATTCGACGGAAACACGTGGACTTCCGAAATTTCATCACATTTTGCCAATGCATTTTCACCGACCGTACGTGTTAATCGTTAATCGTTCGTTCCAATGAAACGAGAGAAGAAGTCAGTGTCGGTAATTCGATGTGCAAACGATCTTTTTTTTTTTTTTTTGCGCTGCCTAGTTCGGTTCGCTATTCTCACGAGTCCACGTGACTAAAATTCAGGATGTAAATCGAGGACGATCTCGGGAGAGCATCAATCGACTGTTCCCATTACACCTTACATCGTCCATACCTGTTTCAATCATTCGTATCAATCGAATCTAGAGCAGATACGCTCTACTATATCGTTTTATACAACCATATCGATTAAGAGCAATACGAGAACCTATAGTACTCGTGTGTGATCGCCAATGGGACTTTCAAACACAAACGGGCCATCAAACAATCTCATCGAGCTATCTATCGTAAACTTTTTATATATCGAACAGGCTATAGCGAGAAACACAAGGCTGTTTTACATTGAACGAAAAGGCGTCACGTCTTCTTTCGTACGCGAGCGCGAACGTTCTTTTCAATCTTTTCAACGAGAAATCCCCATATCCTCGTCGAATACGCGTTCTACATCTGCAGCTCACGTTTCGAAGAAGAGGGTTAATCGATGAACCTCGACGGAGTCTCGCCGAGTCGAGAGAGAGAGAGAGAGAGAGAGAGAGAGCTTCTTGCGACGTTATATATATATAAAAAAATACCGGAAGAAGCGACGAAGATACGATATTTTCTACTAGCCGATTTTGACGAAGGAGCTAGGGCGTCGAAGCGAGACTTTTTCACGCGTATCCAGTGCCTCTCCTGGTGAGCTTTTTTTCTAATGATAATAAACCCGAACAACCGACACGCGAGACTCCCGCAACCACTTCCCCCGTGTTGAACATCGTTCGCAAGGGACGAAAAAGAATCGGGGTAGGGTTTCGTGTCGATTTAGAATGGTAATCGTCTACCGTGCACGCGGTCCAATTAAACTAAACCAATAAATACGCTAAACGATATCAATAACAGTGTTCGTTCTCTCCCTCTTTTTTTTTTCTTTTTTTTTTTTTTCTTTTCTCGGGGACTAATCGTAACTATCGACCTTAACACGTGTTAACACGACCATCGCGCGTGTCCGTTTTCATAGGACTCGCGTTTCTACGATCGATCGATCCCTGGCCGGCTTTTCCGCGTTCGGGACGGTCTGCTCGATCATTTGGACTAGCACCACGTGCAGCTCTTTCGACGCAATTGCTCCAGATTGAAAAGGGGAAAACTGTACGGATGATACGACTTGGTAGAAAAGAGAACGCAGAAATGATAAAAAAGGTCGAAGAAGGCAAATTTTGTTTTCTGTCGCGAGTAGCATTCGTTTGGAATTGTTTCTTTATTTCTCAGCTATCTTTTCTGCTATCTTTAAGAAACGCAAACAATA